TCGCCTCCTCAAGGCGTGCTGCCTAGCACGAAGAGTGTAATACATGAGATTTTCGCGGCCTGCCTCAGGCTCAGCTACTACCCTAACGAGTGGAAACTCGCTGAAGTAGTCCATGCTGCCCAAGGTTGGTAAGAAGGACAGGACGTCCCCGAGATCGTGGAGGCCGATTGCGTTGATATCGTGTATTGGAAAAGGACTAGAAAGGTACATCGCCAGTCAATTGCATGGACGGGCCATGAGATACAACGTTATCAGCCCTCAGCATTGCGGAGCGCTGCCGAAAAGAGCCGGTATTGATCTCACAGCTGCCTTCAACTCATGATGCTGAGCTTGCTTTAGCAGCTGGCAAAGTGGTCACACTAGTAACAATGGATGTACAAGGCGCCTATGATGCACTCCTTAAAAGACGGCTCCTACAACGTATGAAGAAGCAGGGTTGGCCTATGGCGCTCTTGCTACTCGTTGATTCATTCCTGACTGGGGAGACGTGTGCGTGTAAGGCTTGAGGGGATCACAACACAGGATTTCCCGGTCGCATGCGGTACCCCCCAGGGATCGCCACTCTCCCCTATCCTGTATACCCTCTATCTTGCTGAGCTTCTCAATCAAGATAGAGCACAGCGCTTCGGATATGCTGACGATATAGCTATATATCACACATCTAGGACCTATCCACGAATACACGTATGCTCCGCCGAACCGTTCGACGCATCCTAACGATGGGGAGATCAGAATAAGGTCTTTTTCGCTCCGGAAAAGTTTGAGCTACTTCACATATCGAGGAAGCATGAAATTGCAAACCCGGCTATGAGGATAAGTCGGGACCTAGTCATCACGTCCGACCCCTCTATGGCTCACCAACGGAGCACAACCGACCTTACGCTGGCTTGGCGTCTTTGTTGATCGGCGCCTAACGTTCCTACAGCATGTCAAAACGCGCACCGCGAAAGCTATGCGTGTTGCATCCCACATCCGATCAATAGCTCATACAGCCCACGGACCATCTGCAGCCTGTTGCGAAAAGCGATCATTACCTGTGTACTCCCTGTCGCCCTCTTCGGCTCCGAAGTATGGTTCGATGGGCTATACAAACAACGCCCAAATGCAGGCCATGTTCCGGTCGGCACCGGGATCAAGAAACACGTCGACCTAGTCAGCAAGACGATTCACAGTGCGGCACGGGGAGCTTACCCCGTCTACAAGACGACCCCGACGACCGCACTCCTCGTAGAAGCTGGTCTCCCCAGCTGGAATTGTTGCACTAGAGCAAGCCAGACTGAGGTTCGCGTTTCGGCTTCAGACAGTGGATGCACAACACCTACTTGTAAACCGATTGAAGCTGTGCATCAGGAAGAGAGGACGAGGCACAGGTACTCTGAAAGGTCCCAATACAAAACTGCAAAGAATGGGGACGGGCGATCCTGCCACCGAGCGCCCCAGACTCTTACGGCCTCACTTCTCTCTCCCGAGTGCCGCACCGATCCAACGAATGGTATGGACAAAGAGGACGCCGCGAAAGCATTCAAGGAATGGTGGGACTTAATCCCCCAAGAAGACTACTCTGTGTTTTCAGACGGGTCTGAACAATACGACGAACACGGTCACCAGCGTGGGGTACGGCTTTGCAATCTACCGCGGCAAGCAACAGATCGATAGCGGCTACGGCCGTGTACGCGAACAGGTCGCATGTTTTTTGACGCTGAGCGATCGGCGCGTGGCGGGGACTAGAACGCCTCCTGAGCATCATTGATCGCCCCTACCAGGGGACGAATATGGTTTATGCATTGATAGCACCTCAGTAATCTGGGGAATGCGAGGAAGCGCCGCTGCCTCCTCTCAATGGGCATACCACAAGTGCCATCAAGCGATGCCAACATACAATATTGTAATCAAGTGGTCCCTGGCATACTGAGATTGAGGGCAACGAGGCAGCCGATCGCCCTCGCTGATCAGGTCACGGCTTGGGCCGCTTGACCCTGGCCCAATCCTGCCTCCCCACAGTCAGCAGCTCCGCTCTGTCCTACGTGCCAAATGTCGGCGCTCCGAGAGCAGATGGTGGAAGGAAAAAAGGGGCCTGATCTCCGAAACGTACAATGCATGGAAACCGGTATATGAATACCTCGGAGCCGGAAAAGCCTCAAGCTCCCTCGCGGGGTACTACACAGACTCATAGCGATGCGGACCGGACACGGTGACTTTGCAGCCTAATCACATCAGATTCAATCATGAAAATAGCACGAACACCTGTACATGCGGGATTGAGAAAAGCCCACTGCATTTCTTTCAATGTTCAATCAATAATCAGACGCGCGGCGACTGGCCGCTTGCACCAAATCGACTTCGATCCGAATGGGACGCGATAGCATATGTCAACCGCGTCCTGCGAACACAATATAGCTTTACTGACCTTCTCGCTAGATCCAGATTCTATACTAGGATATGCTCAAAACTACGCGAAACTACGCGAATTCCAACCTGCTCCAATACCCCGAGGATGAGCTCTCCACCCCAATCAACCTAAGACCGCACCGAACAGCCATAAGCGCTCCGAGCGCTCTCCCGATCGACAGCGATCGACCTGATCATCCGCCGACACCCGGATGGCATACGAAACAAGGCCCTCTGAAACAGGACCACAAACCCTTAGACAGAACAGCCGCAGGATCGCCATGAGCGGTACTGAGCGGGGGAATACCAGAGGCAACAAGCCCCTGATTAGCTAACATTACACTACTATGAGCGGCTGGAACGCTAGCGGCCCGTAGGCCCGCTCCTTAGTACGTCTAGAATACCCCTTGGGAGGTCAGATATTAGACGTTAATCACTATAAATAAATAAATAATAAAAATTACCTAGATAATAATAATCTTCTGGAATTTGTAAACCTTTGAAATCAAAGTATCTAAAAGCACCTTTAATCATTCGCAGAACTTCTCAAACGGCTAATATAGCAGAATTGTAATTGAAAGTAACTACTGTAAGAACATTCTATACAGTATACCCTTTTCGATTGAAATAAGCAGATCGATCTTCGAAAGGTATTGTTGCTGGAATAAAGGTATTATCGAACGCTTCTAGGCAATTTGCAAATATATACGATATTTTTTCATTTCTGCTACTCGAGGAGAATGAATGTATAGTTAGATCCGGTAGCTTTACTACTAATAGGTTATAATATCATTATAGCATTTAAAACTTGATAAAAACCATCTTAAAGCACATTAGAATAAACCAATAAGTAGATTTATATAAGGTGTTTTTCATACCTATAAATTATTTCTTTAGAATAAGAAAAGGCTTCAGCTACTACATATAGTTCCACGCTGGCCTACAATATAGAGAAATACATATAGTTTTTAATTAATTAAAGTATATTAAAAGTATTGTAGCTTTGTTTTTTTCGTAACAAAACTCAATCAAAAGTCGAAAAGTGCATAGAGGCATACACAGTTGTTCTTGATAACATTAAGGGTATTTAAAATCAAGAAAAAATTGTGTTTAAATTCACTAGAAATACTAGTTCTTTTTTCGAAATTGGAATATAATAAAAAGAGCTAATAATAGTAGCTAAATTATAAATCAAGATAGGAATAAACTGTTCAGAATTATCAACCTCATCATTATTTATTGTAAATAAGAAAAAGGTAATTTACAATCTAAATTATTAATAGAATCTAAAGCTATAATAAAAAGAATATTGAAGAATCTATTTTTAAACTAAGCTATATATATTCTAGTATGTGGGGAATAGAAATATAAAATAATCTAAATCGAAATCAGAGACGATTTGAAGAAAAATAAAGATATTCTATAAATTTAGATATTTGAAGTATTAATATTATTATAATACTATATGGATATAGAATAAAAGACCTATAAGAACCTATAAAAACACGGATTATTTATCAGATTGAAAACGAGAACTACTTTTTTAATCCTCGTTTTAATCCACACCCTTGTTTTTCTATATAAATTTGGTGAAAAACACGGATTATTTAATATCATTTTAGAATAATCCACCTCCTCCTCATTTTGAAATACATTAAATTCATTGAAATACAGATTATTTGATGAAATCCGTGATTTGATGTCCAAATAGAATTCAAAATCCACTTTCAAAAGAGCGGAATATTCAGTAGATCCAGCGCGGATTTATACATCCAAACTAGCCCTTACTACTCATCAGTAGTAATGCCTTTGATCTCGTTGATCACCGGGAGTAGCATCTTTGATTCTATTACTCACCGGAGATCGATATCATTAATCTTATTACTCACCGGGTCTGATATCCTTGATTCTATCACTCACCGGAAGGGCAAAATCATTAACATCATTACTCACCGGGCGTTCATTGTTTCGGATTTAATCTTCATTTGTCGGGTATAACTTTTGTATGAGAACTTTCTTTTTGAGGGGTAGGGGGTGTAAGATAATGAATAGAGAGATTCGGGGATTGGAACTTAGAGAAGGGATGGTGATGAGGAAAGGGGGTAGAAGGAGTTTTGTATGGAACTTGTATGGTGAGCTTTTAATTTCAGATTTTCTGGTCAAAGGAAGTGATGATAAGCAGAGGCTTGGATCGGTGACACGTTGACTATATGACTCATGCCCATTCTTCAAGTTTAGCTCTATACAACACATGAGATATGCATCTCAGAGGCTCTACATGCCAGCCCTTCCTATCATGCTTCATTCTCCTCATCCCATCTTATCCACTCACCAACCCCTGGGTCTCAACCACCATCCCCCAATAACCCCGGCACACCCCGCCATACAACACCCTGTATAAATAACCATATCCCTATACCTCTCTACCCCGTAACCCCCAAGCACTACCCTCTCCCCCAACAACCCCCCACTAATGGGACCAACCAACACATTTCCCACTCCCTGCAAACAAATAAAAATTCGAGTAAATACTCCACTACACTCCCCGGATCACTACAAATCAGCTTCCCCATCGCCACTCTCATCGTACTAAACCCGTATCCAAAAAACCACTACACGATTCCATATGCAATGAGCAAATCCATCGATTTTGCAAATCCCCAGAGTAGCAATGAGGAAATCGTCGCCATGATTGTACAACCCACCGCGAGAGCATTGACGGAGAAATTCTTATCAGACAAGTAGCCGCAAGCGAATTGACCTGCGACTTGCGCTACACTCATGACTGCCAATATCGCAGCACCTTGTGTACCGGCTAATCCGATATTCGTAGCGAAAGAAGGGAGATAAACTCCTGGGTAGAAAAAATCCCATTCCGTAAATCAATGTTGGCAGATCCATAAATATAAAAAAGTTTATTTTTCAAAAATCCCCAATTTGTGCGTGCCAATCTACTGCGTTTCACTGGGTGGCAATCTCCCTTTCAAAAGCGGCAGCAAAAGAACCGTCAAGATGGTAATCCCAACCGAGATAATCCTCAACGCAGTTTTATATCCATGTTTCTCGAGCAGAAATTGAATAATAAACGGCATTCCCGCGCCACTGACCCCACTCGCCGCACTGATGAGTCCAAACGCCATTCCCTTCCTCGCGATCCACCATTCGTTTATCATACTTATGATAGGATATGTGAGGATGAGGAATCCGCAAACGTACTCACACCCTGGGTCCAGATTAATCCCTGCACAGAGTCGCAGAAGGAACCGGCGACGAGTCCGAGGATACAGATTGGGAGACCGAACCAGATTTGATGGGCTTGGTGTTTGGGAAATCGTTTGGTGAGGGATGCGGAGAGGGGGGCGCCGAGGTAACAGAGACCTTGGGAGATAGTTTCCGAGAGGGCGATTTGGGATTTGGAGTTGGCGAATTGGGGTAGTGTGAAGTAGTAGTCTTGAAAGACTCCGAAGGAGATAGGGAAACCTTGGGTGATGGATGTTAGTAATTTCTCGGTTACGACTTGATGAAAGCGTGATAGTAGGACGAGTGAAGAGTATAGCGAGAATCGGTGTAACGTTCGAATAAAGGAGAAAAGGAGAAGAAAAACAAACCCCATAAAATCGCCTCGAACACAAACGCCGCAATCAACAATCTCCAAGCTGCTGGTCCCCCATCTACAGGTTTGAGTTGTTGATAAACTCTCTCCGGATCCTCAGCTTGAAGTACTGCTTCCGTGTCGCTTGTACTCCTAATTCCCTCTCCTACTCTTCCTGCATCTGCAATAATGTCCGTTACATTTGCTGATTCTAGGTTTTCAACATTGGAATTTGTGAGGGGATATGAAGTTTTGTGGTTTTGGTGCGGATTATCGAACGATTGAAGTTCCACTGGTATATCTGATGGTATCGCTAAAGAAGATTCATTACGATGATGAGAAGTATGTGATGTCATCTCGGGGACCCAATTGAATTTTTACAATCTCATAGAGTTAAGTGAATTGAAAGATATTGAAGACTACATTTGAATTCTTGAGGATTGACCTTATCTATATATCTTCATGCATGATCGACTGATAGTGAAGTGTGTAGGGTTCCGATGACGGCAGACATGACTAGAATGGAGTATTTCTCCATTTAACCCATAGATAGCTTTATTTGTGGATTGTTTGTAGGGCCGACAATATGCGTGGTAGAGTTCGTGGGGATGATGATTAATTGACATTGACACGCCCTTCATGAGTAATAATTTTGTTCGTTGGTCAATGCGAAATCTTTAGCGAAGGGGTTTTTGGAAATGTTTGATTTGTGATGTAGAGTTGTATTATATTGAACTGTATATACCCTTAAGTCTCGCTATACAACAAAAGTAATATATCCAGCTGTTCTCTACACTTGGTATGGTTTGTCATAGATGTCCAAATATCGCCTCATCTAACCCCCTCCCTACCTGTCTCATCGTCTCTCATCGTTTTATCCAACATACATTCTAAAAGCTCTAATTGTAACCCGAGTCGAGACTGTAACGCTCAATATGCCTCATCTCTTCCCGTTTTTATAAGCTTCCCTCGCAATTTTACCCCACCAAATGATTCATTCTTCCGTCGCGCTCCAGACTTTCCCAATCTTTTCATCTCCCAAATAATTCGAATCTTATGCTCCTCGCCTTTCCCAAAAAACTATAACATCGTATTCCCTCTAAGCTGCATGATGTGGAATACAATTTCGCTCGCTTGCAAATTAAATAACTTGAATCATATACTCCTCGTCTTTCCCAAAAACTGTAACATTGTATTCCTTCTAAGCTGCATGATGTGTCATAAGATTTCGCTCGCTTGCAAGTTCTTTCCAAAGATAGGAGCCCTTAAGCTATCTATACACACATAACTTTGTTGATTGATTAGAACGGACAATAATAACATAGGTTGATTGATACTCACCTCAATTTTGTAGCAAGAAATTGACGATTAAAAATCGATTTGAATATTAACCTTCAATCCTGCTTCCCATCGTTTGCGATGGTTCCTCGTCATCATCCGTCTCGTCACCCGTCTCGTCATCCGTCTCGTCATTTGTCACCTCTACCCTCTCAATACCCCACTCAATTTGTTCACTCCCTCGCAATACCCTCTCCATTGAAAACCTGCCAACATCAAATAAATCCTATGTTTGTGGATGTAGCGTTGAAAGATTTCACGCGTTACCGGGTAAATAGCACATGCGTGAATCAATCTCTGCTCTATTCCAATATCCAACCCAAGACGTCTTGTCCTGATTGGAGTCTCTGCTCAACTTGAGCATCTGCGTACGAACACATGAACTTGATGCGTCGCTCGAGTCGGAGACTCGAAGCTGGAAATTCGGGAACTTGGTCATTTATAGCTTCCTCGTAACTTGGTAAATACATTTCTTCTCCATATGATGGTGGTGTTGAAGATTGAATACGTGATAGAGGCCATCCGAATGCTGCTCAGTTGGCGCAACGTTTTGAAAAGGCATTGACATTTGACAAGCGGTTAATTGTAATTATTGCTGACGGATAGAGATTTATTGGCTGTGGGTAACAGTAAAGTCCGAAAGCAATTCAGGCGTTTTGATGCTGATATATTGAATGATAATTGGTATTGTGATATAGTAATTATGTCGATTTCCGAAAGATGTTCTAAAAAGGTATGTCGAATGAAGATTGAATGAACTGTTCAATAGACACAGTCCAAGGCTACGCTTTTTAGATTTATTATTCGTCAGATGATGGTATACTGTGATATTCGAATGTCTGATATGTTAGATGATGGTAAAATATGAATCTGGAGTGTTGATTGATTGAATGGTAAATTTGTGGTTTTGACAGAAGAAGAAAATTGCTGGGATGCTCAGGAGTTCTTAAGGAAACGAAGAAAAGCTAGGGAATGCTAAGTAGGTATTTGATCTAGATCGCCAAGCGTTACCTAGTGGCTGGTTATTGCTACTAATCTATCTAGGAAGTAACACGGGACTGCTTCAAGACACTTTCACCTCAATTAAGCTTTTAGGATAGTGTTTCCTAAGTCAAATGGATAGGGAGCATTCATACATTCTAGATAAGTATTGGAGTAACAGAAGATAGCTGTATGCCCGAGATTGTAAATTCTGACGATGGAGTAGTAATGAAGGGGGCGAAAGTAACAGTCAATACGTCACTCAATATGAGAGAAAATCAAAGTATGGATTTGTACGGAAATACTATTCGAATCGTTGCTCACGTACTTGACTCCGAACTTTGATTCTATCTTCATTTCAAATTTCCCCAAAAAATTGATTTAGATATCTATTTCTCGACTTTTATCATCCCGATGCGGACTAAGGACATGATTTGTCAAAACAATTATTTATTATCATTTGTTGATAGGCTTCACTGTCCTACATGTGCAATGGCTAACATTGATCTGCATCAAGACATACTTTTTCTCTTGAATCCATAGTCTTATAATTCGATAGTCATTACAATGCAAGTCTCCGTATGCCTACAATATCATTTCTCTCCTTCTTTCGAAGATTCTCGCTTAGAACCTTCCCCTTTCATCTCGAATCGACATTAACTTTTGAACCTTACAAATTTACAAAATACATCTTTCTTACAATCATACCAACCTCCAAGTCGCTCTCTTCTTACACCTGATTAAATATTGGGAAAAGTATTGTATCGCTCTTCAATCCGAGATATATTGATAAAATGGTTTGGAAAATGGATTTTATGATACATATAAAGACTTCGGTTTTCGGAAGATTTGACCACCCTGTCGGCTATTCATATCTGGGCCAACCACCAGTGGGTAGTCGACAGAATTTTTCTAAGAGCTGGCAAGTAGAACTTAGAACTTAGAACTTAGAACTTAGAACTTAGAACTTAGAACTTAGAAACTTAGAACTCAGAACTCAGAACTTAGAACTTAGAACTTAGAACTTAGAACTTAGAACTTAGAACTTAGAACTTAGAACTTAGAACTTAGAACTTAGAACTTTTAATTCGAAAGGTGTATATTTTTTGCTCACTTTTTATCGGAAAATGAATGGAAAATACCAAAGGAGTTTAGTTGGCCTACCTAGTAAATGAACTAGCTCGGCTAGGGACATCAGATTGCACTCTAAGGGGGAAACATGATTGTTATCGGGTGGCAGAGATCCGATCTAACAGATGAGATAAAGAATTGTTTTACGAATAAAACGTTTCAGATGTTCTATATGATCGCTATGAAATGAAGAGCATGTGAAAGCAATCAATGGGACACACCAGTGAAGCATTGAAACAATCAATTTATGGTCCTACAAATAAGAAGGCTATTCGGTACATGATCATCAATCCCGTCAACTCCGAGAGCCCTATGCAGTCATCCAAGCTTAGATAAAACCAAGGATCAAGCCAGAAAAATGATTTGCAGGTATGCCAACAGAACTAAGCGTAAGAGTGAGTACTGTCGTCGATATATGACTGCAGCGGGATAATTGGGCAATTGAAGACACATAGTCCAATGGCATATCTCCGCGGACCCTAAAAAGTTTAAGAAACGGGCGGATGTCTATAATTGTATGCGTGTGATACCAACTCTAATCAGAACCTCCATCATTGCACTTGCATGGATTATTTCATCCGTCATGTCATGTTTTTCTTCACTTCTTGAAATAAAAAGATGATCCCTTGATTGATACTAGTTCATGTTATTTTTAAGTCAAGAGGAACTCACTATGTCGATTTGTCGACATGCATCAATCAATTAAACAAGGTCAAAAATTAACGAACGCCAAATCATCAAGGAGTCAGGCCTATTGCCATACTATTACTGCAGTGGTTGAACCAAAAAGAAGCCACTTGGATTGCATCTTGCGAATGAACTTAAATTAGGATCATTTGATAGAGCCAGCTTGATTCACATCAATTTCGGGCAACAATGGTTGAAGTTGAAGACCACAACGTAGGGGCTTATGAATAAACAGATGTTTTCGCAAGTCGCAGCCAGAATGCTGGCTCAAAATCTGGTCAGGCATGGTAGCGTCAGGAAAGAAGGGTGGAATTACTATGATCGTTCTGCTGCTGAAGCATCATATTGGTACCAAGGCTATTATATCTTTATTCTGTGCTATTTGACATAGCTGCTACAAAATAATGCCCATCAATTCTTAATTATGAGAAAAGTGCATGAAAAAGGACGGAGTTTCAAGCCATTTGGGCATGTATAGAGTGATAATGTGTTACATTTGAAGTGTATATAATGAGCCTGCATGAGATGAAGTTATTCAAAAGACTTCACGGGGAATTCCGTGCAAATGATCTGTTCCAACTTGCAAATGAGGGGACTTCGCGGGGTACATAAGTTTCCATCAACACTTTCGCTCTACTCAATATTTCAAACCAATTAATAAGATATGTCAATTCTATGAACAGGATGATGTTTTGAATATTCTTATTTGCTAAGTTCACAATTCTTCATACTCAACCTTCGTTGCGATGCATACTCGTGATGCGCTGTCGAAAAATGGGTTGTATGTGTGGAATTTCACGTTGTCTGTACGGATTTGCTATGTAAACGAGCTACCAGGCACGTCTATCTGGGTTGGAGACAAAAATTTCAATTACCTCTGAATGAATTGCTTAAAGCTTACCGGTACTTGATTCTATCGAGCAGTATGGAGATATTTCCCCACCAGACTGGTACCAACGAGAATGATATGAGTGAAACCAATACGTGGAAATGTATTCAGGTCGAGCTTACGAAGTTGGACGGAAGACCAGCCGAACTTGACGATTTCGGAATGAGTTGAAACCTCCCAAGAAACAGATATCATGTTGAACCTATCCGAACATGTCTACGGAGATCGACAATTCAATCTTTTAGAGTTCTTTAGATAGAGCTGATCCTCGTAGTACTGTCCTTGGCTGCCAGTAGCTCCAGGTATAGCGCTTTTTACTTTCTTGGATGAAGGGTAGTCTTGATTCGAATCAGTGGAATTCATATGTACTGCAAATTTGGATGGACTAAAGGCCCTTTCGAAGATAAGAAAGAGAGATGGGGGGTAGTTGCACTGCATACCTTCCCGTTTAATCAGATATAAAACGGAATTGATCATTTTCTGGTGAAGGTAAATTGGAAGTAGGTAAGCTTTTTCACTCTAAAGTTCATGATGAAATAATCAAGTACCTAGCTCCGACTAGCTTGGCACTGGTTCATGTTAGTGGGCTTTAGCGAATGTAGGATACGACTGTGGGATGTATATATATTAAGCCATATCCCACCAGATTAAGCATCTTCATACAAAATTTACACACACAATGGACCCCCTCGAAGATGGATTTCTGGATCGTTACCAGCGGAACAAACAAGGAGATTTGTCCGACCTCAACAGATTACCCATTTCAAACCCACTTCATCCATTGAGACTGAATTCTATCCCATCACAAGATTTCTGAACCGACTCTTGTACCTAACTCAACATTTCTTCGGACATTCATGAGCAGATCTACCCTAATACGCATGGCATCACCAATGTTCCTCAAACATGTCGTTTAGCAAACATACCCAAGGAAATATTGGCATCATACTAGGATATTTGCCCCCATCATCAGCTTCGTCGCTAAGCACTCACCGGTAAAGGGTTTCTCGCGGCAGTAGGAAATGCCCCTTTCGAGGCACTGTCGAGGGACCGTTATGAGACATACGTCCTTCTCTGGTCCATTGCAAAAGATCTACCGAGCAAAGTGTGTGCCACTCTTGTAATCGGCTCCATAACACTGAGACCGCATTGAGACATTATCGAGATGGAAGAAACGGATGTGGAGAATCTCAAAAGAGGCACAGAGCCCTGAAGTGCCGAATAGATGCTCGTCTCGACTGGACTACAAGGAGTTGTTAGATCAAAATTTCAGTCCAGGGATTTTTAATATGGCTATGAAACATTCGCTCCACAATCCAGATTGTGGGAAAATTTTTGAATGCACTTTCCGGAGAGTTACAGCTAAGAATTATTGGGATTCTTGACCAGAGAATCCCAAACAGATTGTCGGATTCTCCGGGGATCCTTCATTCATCGTACACAGATGGTTTGGATCACACCCACAATCACCGAACGCCATACGGTTTGACTATGGAACAATGTGCTCACACTCGGGTATGCTATATGAGCGGGATTATCTATACAAGGTCATATGGTCTCTCGCATGAAGAGACAATGCAGATTCGCAGAGTCTTTCGTGCGATTGGGACTCCCCAGAGACTACTTCGAATTTATTGAAGTGCGTCGTTGCTCTACACAATGCCAATTGACCATGAAACCCTTGCCCGTGAAAGGGTCAGGAATGGCATTTTACATTACTAGATGGGTTGACCTGGGATCCGGTACATTAGATGAGAAATGGCAAAGATACTTTCAACGAGGTAGATTCGCATTCGAATATCAACAGCAAACCAGATTCGTTAGTTTTGTCTTCTGTATTCGAGAATGATGGTGGATTTCGAAGCAAGATAGAGGATCAACGCTATGCACCATTGTTCCATCCTTCAGTCTCTGAAACCCGAGAGACATCAGTATAAGTAGAATGAATGGTTATTTGAAATACTCTATGTATTCTGACCGTTCAACGGAGAGGACATGAGGTGCAAATGCCACAATCTCTTCCAATAATTATGGTCGTGATTAGTCACCATCGTCTCTTCAAATACCGTGGTTTTGATTTGTCATCACCATCAAAATCTGTCTGTGATTTCGTGCCGCGGGGTAGTTTTGGACCCAAACACATGTTGATAGAATTTGAACATTCAACAATTTTACTCAAAACATATAATTGTGTATATTCGATAGAAAGCAATTCTGTATATAGTAGTTATTATACCTATCTAGGTATATTTCTGGGTACTATTATCAATATTTATATTTAGTATTGAAAACTCCCTATCGTACATCGTTTTTGATAATGTGATGATTTCCATACCTATGCCCCGCCATTATATAAGCCCGTGCCCTTCGAACTTTGGATCTTGAATTTTTGATAAAAACTTCCCAAACCGCAATCAAATCATATTCTTCAAATCGAAAACTACTACACCCCCCTTTTATAGATAACGAGATGGAGGATGACCGTGCACAAGTCGATTTGGGGGTAGCTGTCGATGTGGAAAATAATCTCGAAGAGCCGGTGGCACAACGCCAACCAAAGAAACGTTTCGTGGGAAGAAAGCAAGCTGCAGAAGCTGCTGCACGCAATGGCAACAATACAACTCCTGGGGACAGTGATGCCATTCAAGGTCTGTAACCGCACATTATCAGATTTCTTTCCCTAGCTAATATTCTCATAGTTGCTACCCCAAGAAGAATTCGAACATTAAATCAAGTTCCTTCCGAAATTCTGAATGACCCCGATATCAACGCTGCGATCGCTCTCCTTCCGCCAAACTATTCCTTCGAAATTCACAAAACTATACATAGAATAAGAATGAATGGATCAAAGAAAGTTGCGCTGCAGATGCCTGAAGGCCTACTGTTATTTGCAACCACAATTTCGGATATTCTCACACAATTTTGTCCTGGAATTGAGACGCTTATAATGGGAGATGTTACATACGGAGCCTGTTGTATTGATGATTATACCGCTCGAGCTTTAGGCTGTGACCTACTGGTGCATTATGCACATTCATGTTTGATTCCCGTGGATGTTACAAAGATCAAAACTCTATACGTTTTCGTCGATATCAGCATAGATACGGCACATTTACTTGCAACTCTGGAGAAGAACTTTGCCTCAGGAAAGACCATTGCCATGGTAGGAACAATTCAATTCAATGCGACATTACACGGTGTTCGAGCACCGCTCGAGAAAGCGGGGTACAATGTTCTCATTCCGCAAATTTCCCCTCTTAGCAAAGGCGAGATCCTTGGATGCACATCTCCTCAACTATCAACTGATGGTGTCGATATTATTCTTTATCTTGGCGATGGACGTTTTCATCTTGAGAGTGCAATGATCCACAATCCGACGATACCAGCTTACCGATACGATCCCTATTCTCGAAAACTCACTCGTGAAAGTTATGACCACAAGGAAATGCATACTCTGAGAAGAGATGCGATTGAAACCGCGAAACCTGCAAAGAAGTGGGGACTTATCTTAGGATCTCTTGGTCGTCAAGGAAATCCACACACCATGATAATGATTGAGAGAAAACTGGAAGAGCGAGGAATCCCATACATCAACTTACTTTTGAGCGAGATTTTCCCTGGAAAACTAGCTACGATGAGCGATGTCGAGTGTTGGGTACAGGTAGCATGCCCAAGACTCAGTATCGATTGGGGATATGCTTTCCCCAGGCCTCTGCTCACGCCATACGAAGCATTGATCGTATTGGGCCAAAAAGAAGATTGGGCAAAGAGCAACAATGATGTCTATCCTATGGATTACTATGGAAAGGAAGGTCTTGGCAGAACCAGGCCTATCTCAAGTATTCCAGTTGCTGGTTGAAAATCCATTTTTGCTGCCTACTCAGCTTTGTTCTCCCTCTTACTGTACGATATCATACAGTTGGTCAAATTGCCCTCAATACTATGTAACGCCCGGTGGATTTGGTTCATATATCTACCAATATGCCTCCAATGACACTCTGGTGCCACGGCAAATCCGCTAGACAGGAATGGGCAAATCAATACTATCGCGCTGGTTTGAGCTACCGCAACTGGTATATAGATAAAAATCCGAAGGCTCCAACACGAGGCGCATTTCCCGACCAAATTTCTCCGAGAGAGGTTCAAAGAAGCTGGGTCCGAAACAGTAGCCCTGAACTTCAGAACGCTAGTTACTTCGGCAAACATCTCATTGCAATACCCCCAAGGTGGGTGAGATTAATCTACAAGAGAAAATAAACTTGTTCCCAACTTGTTACTTCTAAAGAGACACCAATTTCTTCCGCAAGAACAGTGCCTGCGCTATTGAATATACTGCTATCCAATGACACTATTACAGTTAACTACGAAAATAAGATATTCAACAATCTTCATGTACGAGGCTCTCTCCTAGTTCATCTTGACACCCATATTGGATATTCAGGTACAATTTCCGAGTCGTTGCCCAATTTTGCGGGTTTCTGGGGTCTTTTGGTGAACTCCATATTCCGATATCTGGATCGATGACTGGTTCATTGGAGTGCACCTGGGACTGGGCTCAGACTTGGCGCTATTGCCTTCAAGACTAGCTGCTGGCGTTGAATTTTCGAGATCGACATCTCGCGGGCTGGCTGAGCAGGCCGAGGACATGTTTGGACGTGGATGTATGGGGTTGCGAAATAGCATATAGTTAGCAATGAAGATAGAAGAGGTATTATGCTATATGGTACATTTCTTGAGAACTACCGACTTAAAACCTACCAGTCCATAAAACTCGATGTTGTTGAAAACGCGGCTAAAAATATGACAAGAACACAAAACCCAGATACAAAAATTCAATCTCTTTCAATAGGGTTTCTTTATGTCTGCTAGTTCTCCCTTTTTGAAATGATACTCACAGTTTTATCGACTCATAATTCGCGACACGGCGGCAGATATTTGTAAGGAATTTTTTTGCATCGGCTGTTGTACAACACGAGTGAACGAATGAGGGTTAGGGTTGGGCCCGCTTTCATTTAGGCAGGTGACTGATTGGGTTGCTAAGATGATATGTTGTTAGGCGGAGAAGATAATTCATTCGCAGACTTGAAGATTATGCTGGTCTTCGTATCTGGGGATTGGCGGTGTGGCTAAAGTCTTCCTCCGATGCGGATTTTGAATGGAATAGTCAGGTAGGTAGCATACGTTATCAGAGATGGTATAGGAAGGAATTCTGAATGATTTTAAGTCGAGGATTTGCTTGCTTGAGCTGCGAGAGATAGAGATTGCTTCACAGATGGATTTCACGGTTGAATTGAAAAATGCACATAAAGTCAGATGAAGAAAGTTCAAAGTTAAACGCTTGATTTGTCGAGTGCTTAGTACGTAAACAAATGATAAGTAACGCTAAGCCTCGCTTTCAACAATACCTTCGGAAGTAATGAAAGGTCCTGTCTAATCTAGTGACCATCAGATCAAAGGTTCTTCCCAGACAAAACCGCATACCAAAGACTTTTTGTTTCATTAATCAGAGTGAATGAAGTCCCTTCGATAGGCATCTTTCTCTAACTCGGAAGTGTGATTAGACGCCGGAATAGGTGATGCCTCAAATACGCAGAAGATCTCATCTCCATATTTTCTCTTCGCCAGAAAGCTCCAGAGATCTTTCAATTCATCTGGACTATCGACGGAGAATCTTTCCTCAGATAGCAGCATCAAGTCCAACGAGATATTGTTCCAGCATCGAGATGCCGTTTGGTAGGGGTTTCTCCTGCCCAGTGAATGAAGATGGATACATCTCCTTTTATACACGAAAACTTCTCAGACGAAGCTTGAATATTGATGGTCTGAATGAGCGTATGCGAAATTGTTGAGAAGTCTGCTGGTGAGACGATTCCGAGAGTCGTATCGCAAAGAAAGGGAAATGATCCATCTGAGATGTTCATAGCTCGGATTTGGATACCAGGAGTTATTGATGGTTGAGCGCCTGATGAGGATTGATCAGACATCTCTGGAAAGAAATTTGTTATGTCTGTGGAGTATGGTTCAACAGAGCTATAACTCACTGTTTTGGACTCTTGGGAGGTGATTAATATCGCTTTAGAAGAATTGTATTACTTTGAATAAGGGGTCTATGACCAGAAAATAGAAAAACAAGTATGATATAACGCTGGAACAGTATTCAGGACGCTAAGCTCAACGATTGTACAGCCACAAATATTCACTAATACTGTCAGATTGCGTTTGCTTGACTCTGAACAAAAACGTACCTGATCCTACTGCTGAATATTCTGAAACAATATGGAAATTCTGATTGAATGTGTCAAGCGGAGTTTGAGTCAAGCGAGATTTTGTCAAGAGAAATACTTCCAAGTCAAACATAATCTATGGTGCCTGGACAGTAAATAGATCTGGCTACCTTCCTGATCGATTGCTTCAAAATGATATGTGCACTACCACTCGCGGAGAGTCTTGACATTGGATTATTCAATGTGATCCATGAAATCTATTGAAGTGCTCTTTGTGATGGAGGGCCTATGAATAGAGCAATGTATCACGTCGCGATAATCTCTCTCAGCCAGCAATTCGAGGAGAAACTCGAAATTTACCCTATGCCGTGGGCCTTTCTCACGTTTGTACAATTTCATTGTTTTTACCCCAATGTCATTCCACCTTTTGCATTTCAACCATTCGGACCATTTCGACCATCCGTCACATTCTGGTGGGACATCCCCATCCCAAACAACAAACACGTCGACAATCTCGGGACTCACTCCCAAAAGAGGTACAAATTGAAAGTCGATAATCTGCTGCAGATTGCGTAGCATCTGCCACCAGTCTTGGGGAGAGTCTATATCGAGAAGACTATCGCAAAGGATTGAGGGTCCGCGACCTCTTACACTATTGTAGCCCCCGTTCTCGACCAGAACATCGAGACAAACTTGTACTTTCAATCCACGATCAACAAATAGTGCAGATTGAGGCTTGGGTGAAGGAGACCTGAATGACGGAGATTCGAGTGAAATGAACTTGAGTAAAGAAGGCTCGGGTGAAAGAGGCTCAGATGAAGGAGAGATAAACTTTGGTGGAGGACTCTCTGGTGAAAGAGACTCAGATGAAGGAGATACAGATGAGGGTGACTCGGGTGAAGCAGATTCAGATGAGGGAGACTCAGGCGAATCGAATTCCGGTGAAGTAGGCATATTTATGTTTCTCGAGAGAACAATTAAGTAAACGAAAATAACTTGACATCCAAAACAAAAGGTTAAGATACTGTTATAAATTTCGTGATTATTAACCAAAAAACACCACATCGATGGAATTTTGAAGTAGGGGCTCTCAAAAATCCATAGTGTACCAATATTGCATCGAAGCTTCCCATTCCGGATGGTAGCTTGGGCTGTGGAGATTACTAGCTCCGTGAAGGTAGTTCCATATTCATTTGAGGAAGGAATGAGGTGCAGCCTGACTCCCTCGTTATGAGCCCTGAAATTTCTACTTTTGCACACTAATATTATGCGTCTCTGTGCTGGTGGGTGTTTCTGATTGTGTACTTTCGTTCTTCGAATTGTTTTGAATGATTCCGATTTGAAATGATAACCAAGCATGCAGGCGTAGTCAGCTTTGTCGGTCTTTTTCCTTTGTTCTGAGCATACTCTCTATGCCTCGAACAAAATAACAGCCTCGAGAGTTGACACACATGATCTTTCGTACTAGAATAAAAGACAAGCTTCAAATGAGTTATGGAGTGACCGAAATGACGAGCGGCAGCTTGGCAATGTGATGATCGCCGACATCGAAAAGACTCTGGAGCACAGAAATCCGAATAAATTACACCTGAATGCATTTGGAACGAGCCCAGAAAGAGCGTGATAAGGTATTCATTCTTTGGCGATGCAATCTTCTCATCTCGGTATTGCGTTGTTTGGATCAGTAGATTGAGTAACATTGCCAAAAAAGATGGCAAAAGAATCTCCCAATCTCCCAGAATTATCTCAGTATCCTTTAAGATGATAGGGAATCTGGGCCATTCGAACAAATGAATCATTCAACCTCCAGTCTTCCTGACTTTAAAATCAAAGATAGTCTCACCTGAGTTGTAGTCCATGATCCCAAGTAGTCTTTCCTGTTAGGGAATGATCTCGTTGCCATTCACTTCCCCTGGAAAAGATGCAGATCACTAGTTATCATGCGAGAGTTTCTGTGACCAAGTAAGCCGACAAGCTTTTTTGTGGTGCTTTTTGCGAATCGAGTATTGCAGCGTTTTCAGCCCGCCCAGAATGTTTTCCAGGCTGAATGGCCAGCTTAAAGTTGACCTTGTTCATCATTGACATGATATCTAGGAATTCTACGATATAGACCTGGATTCTCCGCATCAATATCAAGGAAGTCATCAACGGACCAATCATGCTTTGCTGGCCAGGTGAGCTGGGACTGTGATTGAAATTCTTGATATGAGTCCCTTGAATCGACTGGCTGTTCCCATGAAATCGACGGCGGCGGAAATGCTTGCTTGATCGCTAGCACATTTCACCACAGACAGCTACAGATTCGTACACTCTTGAACATGCTGAAGAAATGTAATTCGCATGAAGTTGACGACTTGTTCCTTCAATTGCCATAGCTATAAGTTCTTGGTCTCTCGAGTGACTCAACTCAGGGGTAGCTTTCTTTCAATATGGCCGCCTGCGCATGGAAGTCTGGCCACTCCTGGTCCAATTGAACTAACAATCTCATAGCAGAACTTTGCCCCGAAGAGTATGGTTTAATTTCAGTATGATTCATATAAAGTTCCGTGTAGATTTCTTCGAGAAAGCAAGCCATTTTGATTTTGGCCAAGAAGACTATCTCCAATGGACTTGGCTGATCGAACTCCGGCAATGGGACACTGCATTCGAGCAGGTATGATCGATAAACTTGGCTGCACCTGAAGAGCCTTAACTTGTCTATGATATACATAGACCAGAAAAGATTAGTTCGCTCTGGACTTATGAATTGGCCGGGCTGATGGAGGCCAATGGACCTCGCCATTTGGTGAGCTAATGCTATGTGCTTCGCAGCTACTTGATGATCATAGAACTCTCTTGTAACAAAACTCTGAGGACTGTTAGATTCACTCTTGCCCATCTGCGTGGGAAATCAAATGAGATCAAAGCTTAAGTCTAGACCAAGAATTACCACAGTACTGAGGATCGAATTTGAATCATATCTTTGAATATTTCGGGATAATTAAAATCACTTACCAATGTAAAAAGAGCTTGGCTGCTGGCTATCCGCGGCTTGAGAAGAGTGTCTAAGATTGAGAAAGATCTCTTGGCATTATTCAAGAGCATGAACATGAGGTCTTCATGTTTTGAGGGAGCCCCAGGAGGATATATCTTCAATTTTGCCAACAAAGAGAGTAGAATTATATTCTTAAAGCAAAGAATCCATGTGGGGGTCTGCATACTCACAGCCTATACTATACTGCTCATCTATAGCTTTCAATAGCGTATCTCTGTCAAAGATTGGCAATGGATCATCGATTTCTTTCAAGTAAAACTCTAGTGTAACTTCCAAAAGGGCTCTTGGTGGTAAAGCTATAGGCTTGCCATCGCTTTCAACCTCCGACGGCTGTGGCATTGGCAGCGTTTTGGGAAGGTCCGTCAATCTCTGCAGCGTGGATGACACCTTTGGGTCGCTCGCAATTAATATGTCAACAAGGGAAAAATTTCCATAATCTTTGGAGTTGGCTTTCTTTTCAAACCGTACTTTTGTGAATCAAAAGAAGCGTAAGCGGAGCTCTGTCCATAGAATCTTTCGTCGCCAGCAGCATCCATGAATCGATGTGAAGATCATCATATATCCTGGCTGTGGGCCTGATTGATTGCTTCCAAATGGATCATCAGAAATAGAAGCATGAATAGAAAAATCGATGGCCACGTGATATGGAGAAGCAGTGAAGGTAGAAGATGCGATTGATGAATGGGAGCTGTTCAAATGCTGTGCAATTCGAGAAAACAGCACTTTCGATGCTAGCTAGCCTGGTATTCAGGCCATCAAAATCTTCAACTCTTTCCAGGTCAATTTATATTCCAACTCGTATTCCGAAGGAGGTGGACTTACAGCTTTCTGGTAACATTAGGTCTTTTCTCCCGACATGAAAATTCACATTAGTGATGAGACTTGGCACAATTTGAACATTCCGGGAGTAAGCGATCATATCGTAATTATCTTGCGCTTTTTGCATTGATCACACACTTGGTCACTTCCTTGAGAGTTCTTCGTGCACAACTGACCCTCCATCTCGATCTGCTAGCCACGGTCGTTTGTATATCAAAGAGAGGCTCTCCGTGTTAAATACGCGGTGAAAAGTGTATTGGTATCGAGTGATAATATCTCTTGCTTTTCAATTTGGCTATTTGTAAGGATCAAAAACATGAGGACCTGTAAGAATGATGTTATACTCAGATCCTGTGAATACCAGACATGAATTCACTATCAATCTGCACTTGATGTAGAATATTGGAGTGAAGGGTACACCCCGGGGCCAGGTACACAAGTAAGCTTTGTCATCATTTCATCATTAGCTAAAGCCCATGCATAAAACGTGACCAGGCGACAATCTCGTTTCCTTGGAGCAACGTCGCGTCTGCGACCACCCCGCTCTGTTAACAGGAAGCCGTAGTAGATGCACATGTAAGCACTCAACGATCTTACTTATAATTATTTTCGTAATACTCTTAATGATACTGAGAGTTACAATAATTTGGATTAAACTACCGATACTGACATTTTCAACTACCAAGTCATAACCAGCAGAAGCTTTATTCCCATCCAAACGAATACCTTACTGTTACCATCAAACAACTCAAGTATCCACCAAATATGCCTTCACTCCGCCGCAGTAAGCCCCCAAAGTGTCCCCTCCTCGCCCTACCTCGCGAAATTCGAGACGAAATCCATCGATATGTTCAATTAGGACAGCGAATTGACAAGCCAAGAGCAACGAGCTCTGGCTATCTCAGACCAGACGACAATACAATATGGCCCAACGCTTATCAACTCCTCAAAGACTCCGAGTATCGAGAAGAAAAAGATCCCAGGGCGGTGTTCCGGCCAGATGCCGAAGATATCCTTATACTGGCGCGAACGTGCGAACAGCTTTATAAAGAATCAAACCAAATCTTCTACAGTGAGAATGCGTTCTCGTTTGAGGGCACTTGGAGTTTGTATTGTTATCTGTACATGATTGGCGAGGAAAAGCGACGGTGTATTCGCCATATAAATTTCCAATTCAGAGGAATTCAGAGGGTAGATGCATTCAAGTTACTTGGCGAGTGTAAATCGTTAAGCACTCTCAGGATAGGAGTTGGACAGGATACGATGTCTGGTAGTAAACAACCGAAGTTGGATTTAATGACAGCCAGAGGTCTTTCTACATTGAGAAAAATAAGAGGGATGGAAAATTTGGTGGTAGATGTGGTAGAAATGGACCAACCATCCAGACATACTTACTCGTTCCCCTACACAGGATCGCTGGACCAATCATCCACACATGCTTACTTGTTACCCTACAGAGGATCGCTGGACGTACCCTCAAAGGTTCCGTATTTCATGCCGGGAAAGGTTCAAGAATTTGCAAGGACGTTGACAGAGGAGATGAACTGGAAAGAGGAGACGCCGGAGCAGAATCAAATCCAGGATGTATCATTTGAAGAGGAAGAAGTTCTACAGTCGAAGCCAAAGTCCAAAAATTCCAAACCAACAGTAATTTCCAGTACTCGAACTCTACGCTCAGGTAAAATCCAAAAGTCGACATCCACACCTAAGAGAAAGGTGGCGAAAAAAGCAAAGACAAGTGGAAAGGGGAATTAAACTTACTACTTTGGCTTCTCGGAATCGGTTTACCGTGGGTGGTGGGACATGAGAATCACAAAGAGTTGGCCATTGATGAACGTATCAACTTTCGATATACGCTTTCCATTGCTCTCTCGTCTACATTCATTTGCCTCCATTGCTTCCGTGAAGCTTCCCGTCGACTGTTCATCCTCCTCCGACATTTCTTTTCAAATCATCGCTTTAGGAATGAGATGGACACCAACCCCATCTATCCTACGATCTTACGATCCCAAAGACTCACAATCTCTTCAGCCATGGATTTTCTCTTCCCTTTTTCAATACTCCATGATCAATCGATGCGCAAGAAAAAAGTCTCTCAACCCCATCCCAACTCCTCTCGACGAGAAATAACGTCGAACATAGTAGTACAAGCATTCGTCAGTACTATTTAAATATCGGTACCCTACAACCCTCAAAGAACGATCTTATTATAGGAATAGCCTTGAAATAAGAAGATGTAAGAGTAATTATAATCACTAATAAATATCAAACCAAATACTATTTCCAATTCCACTCTTCGGTGAAGACTACGTAATCTCAACATGTATGATGACGTTAAAGTGCTAAATACTCTTCTTATGATCTATGATCTCTTCTCGCTCATCAACAGAGCTGTTGTATGTCTGAAATGGAATGCGATCAGATGGCATGACACACGTAACTATCACAGAAGTCTTCACGTAAGATTATTAAAACTTCAGTCTAATAGAAAAACATCAAAAAGAATTGTCAATTGAGATCAAAACACCTCTTTCACCAAACAGCCTCAGCTCATACACATGGATGACATCACAAACAAATATGTTTCTCCACTGATAGACAAATTCTATCCTAATAGTATCATCTCATTCACCATATATCATATTGATATTCTCAAATTTCAGTTTTCCTATGTAAAGAGTATGTTGCAAAAGATCCCCAACGCCACAAAAGGGATATATCTATGCCCAATCCATTTTCCCATCATCATGCATGCAATGCGAAAAGTGAAGTTACATTTTCTAATTGACTAATCGACTAATAATCATCACCGCGACTGATCACCTCTTTGCAGTTTGGCCTGAGGACGATTGTCTATTTCTTGTTAGCGATGTTTTTTTTTTCAACAGGGGATGGAAGAGCTTACATGTTCAAATTGCGCGGTGTAAGAGCCCTTTTTATCGACAAGAGGTGGGTAATCTTGCACGATACCATGGGAGACTAATGCGTTTAACTGCTTTTGTCAGATATTATGCTAGAAGTGTGGGTGAATACAAACTCACTCCGAGTAGATATTTATCTTGGCCTAAACGATCCAAATATCTTCTGCAGAAAGGTAAGGTGCCAAAGTTCTTGTTGATAACATTAAGAAGTTTGCCAGCCGATGCGATACGTAATGGAACGTTGGGGGCATCAGCAACCTTAGCATAATGAGAACATTCGAGCTATAACTGATTAATATCTGTAAACAGGTAATTCTCATGCATGGACTTACATCATCTCTAACATAACCATTTCCAGTACTTCCGAAAGTTTCAATAGCGAAAACCTCCCCTTCTTCCATCTTTGTCTGGTCATTGCTCTTAACAATCGGGACACTCTTTCCACCGTGGATCTTCCATTGTAGAATATCATGACCATTCAAGTTTCTAATCGGCTTGACTTGATAAGTTTGACCCTTAATCTCAACCTCGTAACTTTCCATTGTCTCCTGAATATGCTCGCCAATTTCTCCCAATCTCGCATCAATTCCGGCTTCCTTGATTCCGGTATTTGTAGCTTGCTTAACGGCCTCGAGAAGATTATCGTACATGGGATCAAATGCAATAGTAAAAGCACTGTCCACAATTCTACCGTTGATGTGAACTCCGAAATCGACTTTCATGACATTCTCATAAGCCAAAACGGTCTTGTTTCCAGCGTTTGGACTGTAATGAGCAGCAATGTGGTCCAGGTTGACACCAGTTGGGAAAGCGACACCACCCTTAATATTGTCTCCCTCCTCTAAACCAGGGTGACCAGTCAAAGCTCTCACACTATCCTCGATTCCTTCCGCGATTTCCGTCAAGGTCTGCCCGGGCTTAATGTTGGCTTTAGCGTATTGTCTAACCTGTCTATGAATCTCGGCACCCTGTCGATACTCCTGCAAGAAATCATTATTCATGCGATCCAAATAACGCTTCTCTTCGCTGGTAGTTCGATAGTTATTTTCGTCTCTATATTCGACTTCCTCTCCAACAGGGTACTCGCCGCTTGGAAAAAGGTTCGACAGGAGAACTCGTGGAGGCGATGATTGGACTTTAGGGTCGCTCAGCCTTCTTCTTGGGCTTCTTCTTCCTCTTCCTCTTCTTCTTTGCTCCTCCTTCTCCGGCACCTTCGCCATTTCCTGGCTCCTCTTCATCGTCATCTGAATCTTCGGCCTCGGCTTCGGGTTGCGCGTTTCCGTCTGCCTTTGCTTCTGCGGCAGATTCCATTACAGCATTAGGGTCCTTCACTGTACATTTTGTTAGATCATATTCCCCAAGAATAGAGGGTTCTGGCGCAGTCCCCCAAAATGAGGGGTTGATTTTTACTTACCCTTCAAATTCTTCAATGCATCAGTAACCTGTGCTGCCATCTTGAATCACCTTATAACAAGACCCTCGAGTCTTGTTCCCAATGCTACAAATATATGTAATTGACCTTTGTATTAATAACAAAAGTCCAGCTGTTGGCAAAATAATAATTGATTGAAAGAGAAATCTAACAATTGCTTTCCCCGCCAAGGTGGTAATGGGCTAACGTCGGGAAAAGATGTCTCGGTTAGAAGTAATGTTTGGGTAAACCCCTGTCAATCGTTGGAAATCTATGCCGTCACTGGCATTCCAGGCTTAGTACAGCATGTGTAAAGTTCTCATGGAAGTTCTCTCATCTCATTATTTCTTTTCCCTATAATTCCCCAATTCAATGATGAGGAATGCCACTCTTCTTTCGCCCCTCTCCTTTTGTCGTCCCACGAATTCGACCGCAGCGATTCTCTTTTCATAGTACTGCTATCTACAGAAACCCCGCTCAAAACCACTACGAGACTTTGCAAGTCGCTCCAGATGCTACACCGGCCGAAATCAAAAAGTACGATCGCATCCTTTCTCATTTTTAATTGACGCCAACATGCTAACTCGGTCTCTTCAAGATCTTTCTACGCTCTCAGTAAAGTCCATCATCCCGATCACAACCCCTCCGACCCCTCTGCATCAAAACGCTTCGTGAAAATCTCCGAAGCATGGGCTATCCTCGGTACCCCAGCCAAGCGACAGGCCTACGATCGAGAGCACCATATACATTCTCATGCTCACGGTCACGGTCATAGTCATGGAAAGGGTCATCGTCCACCACAAGGTTCCTATTCGTCTAGCGGGCCAGCAGGTGGTAGACCGGCTAGCGGGTTGAGTAGACGACGAACCCAGTTTCGTGGGCCGCCGCCTAGTTTCTATAGAAGTGGAGGATGGGGAGAACATAGTGCGAAAAGACGAGCTGCGCAGGATAATAGTGCGCCAGGTGCGGAGGCTCCACCGAAGACAGAAATGGGTGGAGGGATGGGAACGGGTCAGATGCCATGGGGCCCGGAAGGAGATATCCCACACTTTGATAAAAGAGCACACACACAAACACATGATAACGTGGATAGAAGGAGGCGACGTCGGATGAGTGAACATTTCATTCCAGCGGACCGAGAAAGGAGCACCTTCGCGAATTTCGTCATCCTCAGCGCAGTAATATCTATGAGCGTCGCTATACCGTCGTACATTTATGAGAGGATGACAAGTGCAGGGAGGCCAAAAAAGCTATAGTCACATAAACATTGACAAAAAAATAGACCATAGAATTATCTATCCTTGATGCACACACTTCGGTCAATTACAATAAAGACAGTCACTCCGTTGCAATGCTACAATGCGCGTGCCACAAAAAATGATATCAGAATTACACCTCTATTCTACTATCGTACGGCCAACTCCCAAATCTCGAATAATGCTGCTCTATGACTCGAATGTGAAGCTTGTGCCGATCTTGTGGGTAGCTTGGTCGAGCTTTTGGGTATCGAAGGAGGCACCGAGACCAAGGGTAGCACCAGGTCGGAGAACAACGTTGTAGGCAACAGCGGCAACACCACGGTCGTTGATCTTGACCTATAATTTCCTTGCGTTAGCAAAAGTTTTGGAATATTTCTGCACAAATTGCTTACCTTGGCGAAGGAGAGTGGGTCAAGTCTGTACTTGCTAGCAACCTCGAGACCAACAGAGTTGGTGTTCTTGGAGTCCCAGGTAGCCTTGGCACCAGCCTCGACTTGAGTGTTGACCTTGTGGTAGTATGAAGCGGAGAAGACGCTCAAGTTGTCAGCAGCAGTGATGGCAGCACTGTAAGTGGGGGCAGTGTATCCAACAGCGGCGGAGTAGCTGGTGATAGCTGCCTTTTGGACATCATAACCAGCGGTGGCACCAGCCAAGAAACCATCTTGTCCGATAACAGCGTCAACGGTGGCAGTTGGACCCTTGAGGAGATCGAAGAATGCGCGTCCGTGGAAGTTTGGTTGCTTGAAGTGAAGGTTGACCTTTGCGCCCTTCTTTTGGGTGGTAGGAGCGAAAGAACCGAGAATCTCAGCCTTGAGACCCTTGGCAATGGTGTCGTTGATCTCAATCTTGGTGTCGAGAGCGTTGAGAGTGTTCCATGTTTGGGTCAGAGTCAAGCCTGTTCCGCCGGCATACTGGATTAGTAACTGTGCACAACCGGGTTGTCTGATGAGAAAGAAACCAAATGGACTATGAACGGGGAAATATTGTAGAATAAATTGATTAAAATATATACCAGTTGGCTTGTCTGTGAACTTGGCCTCCAACTGCACACAGGAAACTGTCCATCAGCGTTTGTCAAAAAATTAAATTATTTCCCATGTATTCGTACCAGACCACTTGTGGCATTGTCGTGGGTGCTCTTTCCAGTCACTTTGAATGCGACATTGTTTGGAGTATTCGACTTGACCTCAAGTGCGGCAGCAGTGAGGTGGTAGAAATCTTTGTTGAGCAACTGGTTGATATTGAGGTTAGCTTCAAATATTTGCAAACATGCGCATCTCTAGAAATATCTTACATCGTTGGACGCCTGGCGATATCGGGATGAAAGCTGGGACAGACATGATTGAAGGATTGGAAGAACTGAATTGATTGAACTTTGGGGATGGAATTCGAGAAAGTTGTACAGATACGGGAATAAATGAGGATGAAGTTGAAGAGGACGTGGTTTTTTGTTCCCTAAAGAATTTCGAATCGTGAGGAACCAAGCGGCAGAAGTCGGACATGGAACGTGGGATTGTTATTGGTCCAAATGCTCATGTGCCTCCTTCCATATGCGACCCCCTGTAAACGACTTCCATTCATGGTTCCGTCTTATGCAACAAAACATTCTTTCACCAAATGATGAAATCTCTCTCGTTCAACAAACGCAAAAAACGAGAAGGATGTTACAAGATCGATCATTTCCACGTCTTGAAGTGGCATTGGATTCGTTCAATCTTCAAATACACCTCAAAAATTGACGCCATATGATATTTATCTGTTTGTTTACAACTGCAAGCTCGATTCGTAACTTTCTACGGCAATGGAGAGCGAAGTCAGTGACATTGAGGGTTGTGAACAATTCGCAGCTTTTTAACTAGCATTAGAAGGAACCCGCAGTGCTCATTCATCAATACCCCAACAAAATCAAAATATATTTAAGCCATAAAATAACATCAAACTCAAATTCCCAGCACAGATTCAAACCGTTAATTGTGCATAAGATGGAATTTCGTGGGGATTCAACTATCTACTAGGTAGGTATCTATCAATGGTTTCATCCTTCTATCTAACTCCACAATCTGTCCACTTTATTGGTAGCTCAAATTTAGAGTCCAAAAGATGCTCGAAAATTAGTGGCTATCATTTTTGTTACCTTCCAATAGATAACAACATTCCTAGAAGGAGAATCTTCACACTACAATTACTCGTCATACTTTTCGTTGTGAATGGCAATAGCTCTTCCACTGGGGTCGGTTTGTTTAGACCAAGTTGGGGTCCATCTCATAACACTCTCTGCACAAGATGGTGGGAAGTGCTCGTCGAACATTGTTCGGTACCAGTAACTATTACTCTTGTTAGTATTCGATTCTCGTTGGATAGAGCAAAGAACTTACGCTTCCTTGGTATCCGGAATATCGGATCCCCATTCAGGCTTGGGGTTCTTCATCATCTCATCGGTAACGTGTAGCTCGGCGTTATCCTTGAGAGCATCGATCCATCCGTAGCCAACACCGTCACTGAATTGCTCCTTTTGTCTATAAAGAATGTGTTCTGGGAGGTATGGTTTCTGACTTGGATCATCTGATGTGTCAAAAGCCTTTCGGAGAATGTATTTTTCAAGACGATCGTTGGTAATCATCTTCTCTTGTGGGTCGATGTTCATGGAAACTTCGAGGAATTCCTTGTCGAGGAAAGGAACACGAGCTTCTAATCCCCAAGCGGCAGTCGACTTGTTGGCTCTTAAGCAGTCAGACAAATGTAAGTTTTTGATTCTGCGGACGGTCTCTTCGTGAAGAGCTGCCTTATCTGGTGCAGCGTGGAAGTATAGGTAACCTCCAAAGATTTCGTCACTACCTTCTCCACTCAATACCATCTTGACACCCATAGCCTTGATCTTTCTCGAGAGAAGGAACATAGGAGTAGATGCACGGATAGTTGTTACATCATATGTTTCCAAGTGGAAAATAACATCGGAAAGCGCGTTCAAACCATCATCAATGGTGAAAGTCATATCATGATGCTTGGTACCAAGGAACTTGGCAACTTCTTTCGCAGCCTTGGTATCAGGGGAGTTTGGTAGACCAATGGAGAAGGAGTTGAGTTGAGGAAGGTAGGTGAGAGTCGACAATTTGTTATCGTCATCAATACCAACAAGTCCTTCTCCTTGGTCCTCGTTAGCGGTTGGTGTCGCAGTTCCACTTCCGCTCTCAATTGCAGCTAGCGTAGCGGCTTTCAGGCGTAGAGACTCTCTTTGAGCGATGGCAGCCACCAAACTCGAGTCGAGACCTCCGGACAACAAGACTCCGTAAGGAACCTCAGCCATGAGACGCTTACGAACAGACATTTCAAGTGTTTCTCTCAAAAGCTTGTAATCAATTGGGGTTGATGGAACGTTCTTTGGGTCCCACCAAGATGGCTCGAAATACCTTGTTGTCTTGTCGGTTTTTGAGTCATAAACATGTCCTGGAGGGAAAGCAATGATTTTGTCGCAGACAGGGTGCAGGCATTTCAGTTCAGATGCAAAGTATACGGCTCCTGGTGTCTTGCTCGACCATCCTTGGTAGAAACTGGTAATGCCAATGGGATCGCGTGCAGCAATTGTGCGGTCTTGCTTTTTGTCGTATAGAACAAATGAGAACATTCCGTCCAAATGTTTTGGCGCATCGATATCATGTTTCCATGTACTAACGAATATTCAGTCCACGGATCCAACTTTTTCCTTCGAATTTCTCACCAGTGGTATTATGACTTCGCAATCGGAATGTGTCTTGAAGTGGTATTGGTTCTTGAGTCCCTTACGGATGACTCTGTGGTTATAAATTTCGCCATTGACTGCGAGTACGAGGGTATCGTCTGCGTTGGTGATTGGTTGCGCTCCACTCTCTAGATCATTGTCAGTTCATGAATATCAAGACAGATTTCAGCGGTGAAAACTTACCAACGCCAACGATACTCAAACGCTCATGCGCAAGAACTACAGTCAATCGATCAGCCAAAGCTCCTACAAGGCCAATTTCCCTAGGCGCAACGTACTTGTGTTGTTGGAAATAACGTTTCCACCTAATTATCATCATCAGTCTCAAGTCCAAACATCCCTTTTTACCATAGGTGACTCACTCCAATCTGGTCCACGATGACGAACTCTAGATTTTACAGTCAGCTCTCCATTTCCAGTTCCCTCTCTCGAACCGAATTACTCACTGCTTCGCCATTCGCAAGGCCGTAGGCTTGAAAGCCTTGACATCTGGGTGACTGTACAATTGTCAATTCTCAAAATCCATCGCGGGGCCCCCACTATCATTAAAAAACCGCACTCCCAATTGTGAAAGAGACAATTGATACATACCAATGACAAGCAAAAATACCACACATCTTGAATTCGTATATGTAAATCCGTTTAATGTGAAATGTAAAATAAGTTCTTCTCAAGAAAAGATGTTCAAAAAATGGGAGAGAAGATAGTTATGTACCCAAATAAAAACTGCCTGTGAGTAATAGTTTCAATGCTCAGTGGTTTTGGTATGTGCATGACTTCCCTTGGCTCCAAAATATTACAAAATTACCTTAGCTCATGGGCCGATAGTCGGATGTGGATTGTGGCAAGGATACCGAAGGTGCATTATGTGGCTTGAGCCCTCAATTTTTACTGATAGCGATTCGGTAGAACCAATAATGTTGCCAGCATTGCCAATTTTGGTGTCAATTGCCTTTGGGTGAGTAACACCTAGCTGTCGAGGTTCTGGAATTTTGTGGTATCTTTTTCTATAGGAAATTGCTTGGCGGTGTATCTGGAATGCTAGACCATGGGCACATATGGATGGATCGATGGAACGATGGACGCAAGTAGCTTTCTTCACGAGGTGACTCAAAGGACAGAGGAGAATGGTACCTAGGTCATAACATAACAATGAAGTAATGAAAAGGTGGTATAGATTGAAAAAGCTCATTCTCTTCATTGATTTTCCCATGTCCCATTAAGTAGATACTCTAACTCATCTAGGGTACTCAGAAAATGTCTTTGACCAAAGCGCTGCATCAAAGTAAAAGTATTTCCTCTGCTAGGTACGCCCGTATTGATATCCCCTTATGCTTTGAAAGATTATGTGCCCAATGAACGCCAATACTTCCCGCCAAATAAACCCGTCGCCTTACTACCGCATTTGCATTTCCCTGGTTCCCCTAAGGAGCTGGGTTATCTTTCACAATGCGCTTGATCTTGTTCTCGTACGCGGACTTGTCCTTCTTGAAGAGATTGTAGGCATCTGCTTGAGCGGGAGAATCAGGGTTGGGGGTATCGAGAAGTTCTTGGATGCCAAGGAGGATTTGCTTGATGGTAATGGCAGGCTTCCAGCCTTCTTCTTCGTTCAAAATCGAAAGACAGACTGTGCCAGAGGGATAGACGTTGGGGTGGAAGAGGGGTGGTGTAAATTTGCCTGGTTATTTGTTAGTTCAGATCGAGTGCCAAATATGAGAGTAGTTTTGAAGTCGCATACACTTTGGAGGTTTGGTTGGGTATTCTATGAATTGTAAATTAGCGCAAATCCATAACTATATTGTGAATGACAGTAAAAAGACTCACCATCTGGAAAGATAATGTTCAGCTTGAAAAGACCTCCCTCCCATAGTGTACCAGCCTTGCCAGGTACGCCGCAGTCCCAGATCTTCATGTCAATAGTGTTCGTGGCGGGGTTGCGAATAGGCTTTGCAGAAAACCCAAATGGATGGTCCTTTCGCCATTGCTTACTGTAGATCCCATTAGACTTCGTCCTAGATCTCTGAACTGTGCACGCCTTACCGTTCCTCCGTGAGACGATTAAGACAGAGCGTCATTTTGAAGATGAGGCTAGATTTTGTTCAGGAAAGCGCAACTCAGACTTTGAGATTGGAGAAGACTTTGTTAAACTGGCTGTTGATAAAGACCAAGAGCCCAAAGAGTTAACGCGACGTTTTGTATTTCTACAAATGCAGAAGAATGAGTTGTTATGGAAAGGTTTGGTGGTTGCTAGCTACGAGGCTCAAGATTCGTTAATTTATGAAGCGTCCAGACAAGGCAAAAGAAAGAAGTACAATTCACTAGCTCGGAGGACCCCCACTATCAACAATGCCCGACATCAGAATTGACAGCCTCGGCCTAGTCTTCTCATCTCATGATCTTCATGCCTAAATGTACGTCGCAAGACTACCTAGGTATTTTAATTCTTAGAACCCAATATCCGAATATATAAGGTCTGAGTTGTCGTCGAACATCAGTTTATCTAGACAATACCGTTTCCGGCGCAAACCATACCCCGCACTTTCCACATACTGGCCGTATTTATTTCGGCCTGCAGAAGAATACCCACCTTTGAAGATCCCAGCAAAGGATTGATAGAGTTTCCTCTAGCATCTATCAAACATGGAGTCGAAACCTGGGGATCTCGCGGGACTGGCAGAGTCCTCGACAAAAGCCTTGGTTGGCGAATCAAGTACAGCTTCTGAAACACAGGCTGCGGATGCTACTGCAGCGTGGGAGGACGTTCCAGATCCGGACGAGGATGATTTAGATGATCTAGATGGTACATCATTTGATCTAATGCTAGATATGAAAATGAGGTTCTGATGAATTCTTAGATATGCTGGATGAGTTCAACGCTGCGAAGCCAGAATCGAAAGCACCAGCAACAACCTCCACAGCAGCAACCACTGGTCCTGAGAAACCACCCGTCGCGGACGATCCTCTTCTTGACGGCGATGAAGGACTCACTGACGATGATTTCGCAAAGCAGTTACAAGCCGGCATGGCCGAACTAATGGGAGAACTCGAGACATCACCAGAAATGCAGGCACAGTTTGAAAGTATGCTGAAGGAGATGGGTGGATTGGGGGAAAATGGACCAGCACCTCCACCGCCATCTGCGCCAAAACCCGGACCTTCGAAGACCAAGGCCGCCCCAAGTTCAGCTGGCGAGGAAACATTCCAGGAAACTATTAAGAAAACGATGGAAAGAATGCAAGCTTCTGGGGATCAAGCAACAGCTGCAGCAGCAGAGGACAATTCGGACGATTTACTGGCGGAGATGATGAAGGCTATGGGAGCTGGTGGTATGGACGGAGAGGGCAGTGAGGAGGATTTCTCGAAAATGCTATTGGGTATGATGGAGCAACTAACTAATAAGGAGATATTATACGAACCGATGAAGGAATTGGATGACAAATTCCCCGCGTGGTTGGAGAAGAACTCTGCCAGTACTCCCGCAGATGATCTAAAGCGATACAAAGAACAGCAAGTTTTTGTCAGGGAAATTGTCGCTAGATTCGAGCAAAAGACTTACAAGGATGAGAATGCTTCGGATCGAGAGTATATTGTAGAAAGGATGCAAAAGGTATGTATCAGCTGTCATATCATATCGCGGCGCGCTGCTAATTATTTACAGATGCAAGCAGCAGGCTCACCTCCAGCAGATCTGGTTGGAGATATGGCTGCAGCGCAAGAAGCTTTTGGGGCTCCAGAAGAAGGCTGCCCAACACAATAAAATACCCATATCTTAGTGATAGTAACTCGTGTATATTAACAAACCAGTGATACCATGACCAATAATCTCAAAATCAAAGACCAAATGGCTCGATCCATTTACCATACCAAAACACCGACCGGGCCCTAGCCGTTTGAAACACCAACGCTAACAGCAAAACCCTCCAATTTATCATAAACAATGTCGTGTCAATATGTATCGGTATGTACCATTATGTGCCACAATCAACTCATCTCCGTATCCATCATTTCATGGTCTCCTGACACATCCATGGATTGGCTGTCTTGGTACGAGATGTATGATTCCTGTTGTATAACGTCCATGAAAATGGCGTCGTAATCACCATCGTCGCTACCAAAGTGCGTATCAGGCGAAGAACTATTGACATGTCGCTCAACATCCATAACAGTCATATTGTGTTGGTTTGAAAGATGTTGAAATTCTCCTCGCGCCCAAGCAGCTGCTTCCTTGTCATCAATTGGACCAATTTCTTCGTCGAGTGTCGAGACATTCTCATATGCTTCATCCAGAGTTTGTCTTCTTTCGGCTTCGGTCATAGATGATAACAAAGCTTCTAATTCTTCTTCCTCGTTCCTTGCCACTTCCTCGGCCATGACCTCATCTGCAACCATTGTTAACCCAATTCCAGCAAACTCATTCATGAAGAGAGTCTTAGATAGAATAAGCATACCGAGACTTAAATTTCCAGCGCCGTAATCCAGCTGCATATCCTGCTCATCAACATCAACAGCCCAGCCCTGCACATCTCTAGCTTGTCTTTCCGCTCGCCTCCTTTGCTCTGCAATCCAAATAGTTCTCATCATCTCATCATCACCGCCTCTCGCTTTCCACCTTTTATCCTCCGAATCTTCTCTAACTCTTCTCAAGAACAGCTTTCTTCGTGTCTCTCTTCCATCGCCTTGTCCATGCAATAACGGATTCGTCTTCGTTATTCTCTTCGAAAATGCACCATCTCTATTCGGTGAATGTTTGATTGAATTAGAGTGGTTTTTGTCAGGACTTGAGGTTTTCGAAGCACCAGATTCAGGTGACATCATGAAACTATTTTGACAATCACCAGCCTGCTGTGTCCTCGTTGGTAAATTCGCGTTGCGGGGCTCCAGCGGCGATACGGGCGGAGAAGATCGTAAAGGTGATGAGGATAATGGCGATGGTACATGAGGTGTATAATGGCGTAATTGCTTGTGTGCGCTCACAGGAGTCTGCAACATACTGAACATGGTGATGGAGTGCTGTGTAGATGGGAATGGAACTTATGATGTTCTTCCATGCCAATTGATATACTAATGAGACAAAACGCGCCTGCAGGCGGACGCGACCCGCGTATATGGCCCGCACCGCTGATTGTCCAATTGGGGTAGCGATTGGTAGAGATTACGTAAGCGGGCTCGTTCTAGAATTTTGGTCTGCTTTTATGGTCGCTGCAACCGCAGTTCAGATTAGAGGAACGATGTTGGAATCAATGTTGGAATTTTTGTGTTTAGGCTTCGCTATTTTCCCGAAATTTATTCCGACATCACCTGTCTTGCAATCGAAGCACATTTTAATGTCTAATTTGTTGCATCCATCGATGACATTTGCTACATTTATCTGATATTCAACAAGCCAGACATCTTAAACTACCAGATATTCGAAGTTAACTAGAGGCCCCCCTCTATCAACCTGCGAAGAGCCTCTAACTCAGCCCTGCTGAAGAAATTTCTGCGCTCTTCTGATCAGTAACATCACCCAGCTGTCTAGGCATGGTTTTCTCCAACCTACCCTTGCAGAGTGACCATAAAGATGAACCTCTGCACCCAAATTAGAATGGAACTACCTGGATACCGAGCGATATTAACTTTTTGTCAAATTCCTGTCAAATGAAGACTCCCGGGCGCCTGTGGGGGGCGAATTCTCTTGGCTTCTTAGGCGGTTGGCAGTATATTTGCTCTATCGTTGTCCTTAAGAACGGGTCTTCGTACGTAGCCTTCCAACATAGTGTCATGCTTTGGGGAAGCACTTCAGTCCTTCTCAAAATTCGCGCGCACTATACTCTTTATGCAACGTTTGCCGACCTTTTGAGCGTATTTGGCGGTGGTCTGTTGTCTGGCACATGTTTGATTTCTTGTTCATGTCAGAAATTGTGAGATTGTTGGAGACTGTCACTGCCAGTGTGCTGTTGGTATCTTTGACATTCGCTATTTGGATGATCTGCTGGTTTCTCATTCCGAATGGGTTCAGGGCTGAGAGGATGACCTTTCGAAGTGTAAAGCTGGTAGATGATGCGATGGATTGCATAATGTACAAAATCAACGTCCGGTATCGTATCTGCGGTTTCGTATCTCCTAACCATAGTCTCTACGATCTATTTTTGTACTTGCGTAAGTGGTTTACGGGTTTAGTTGTAAGAGATGCAACAAATTTACCCACGTTGTATGTATGTATGATATGCTAGAGGAATTGACTCGCTGTTGATTTTCATTGCTACATATACTTAAGTTTACTACTCTCTATCATATACAACCATAGACTGAAGAGAATTGGGCAATCTCTATGTTGTTTTGAAACCTTCACCTTCCCTAGAACAATTTCCCAAACTCAATATAATAATCTTCACCAGTTTTTCGATTTTCAAATCCAATATTGATTTTACTTCGATAACTCATACCAAGAACGAAGTTCCGATTTTCCTTATCGGGCGAGGTGGGGCATTATACATTGGTTACGGTAGCCTCTACGTTCTCCAATTGCTACCCTCTTGGTGAACACAGGTGATCGTAGCCTACAATCCACACAAACCACCCGAGCCACCTATTGTTAATGTCAATTTCTAGTCTATTTCCCGTAGACCCACTTCTGGATCTATAGTTCTTTTAATTGGTGGTATCTAGCGAGTTTCTGGCGGAGACTGCTTTGATCATGTGACCGGACGTCAGATAGAGTCAATGCACACGCTAGACTTTTTCCTGCTTGGTGTCTTGTTTATCTTCATCTCTATTCTATCATTTCTATCTTCACTTCTATCACCTACATCTACATCGATCATCGCAGTATTATATCTATATTATTCTCATGCAATTATTCCTCCAATTTCTTTATATCCTTCGTACAAAGGTCGGTGGTTACGGTTCCTCGGTATTTGCTGCTTGGGGACCCCCTGACACGGTTTGCATCGCGTCGGTGGTTACGGTTCCTCAGTATCTACCGCTTGGGGACACCCTGACGGTACGTACCAAGTCGGTGGTTACGGTTCCTCGGTATTTGCTGCTTGGGGACACCCTGACACGGTTTGCATCGCGTCGGTGGTTACGGTTCCTCAGTATCTACCGCTTGGGGACACCCTGACGGTACGTACCAAGTCGGTGGTTACGGTTCCTCGGTATTTGCTGCTTGGGGACACCCTGACACGGTTTGCATCGCGTCGGTGGTTACGGTTCCTCAGTATCTACCGCTTAGGGACGCCCTGATACTTTCGGCGCCAAAGAGTCAAGGCTGCTCTCTTATTAGCCTGGGTGGGTGGGATACACACATAGTGTGGGATCATTCTTCCCAATACAATTTTTCTTTGTCATCTTCATAGCTAATCATAATTATAGCGCACAATATGGCGGTTCCAATCCAAATACTTGGGCTGGAGAACCTCCTTACGGAGAGAGTATATATAAAGTGGGCTGATGAGGACGGCTGTTGGACACTAGGTTCTTGCATGCCTGGCAACAAAAAGAATGTCGAAATTATTATGAAAGTGGTCTGCAATTCTAAGTCTAAACGAGATGTTCATATACAGTTCTCAATCAAGGTGACCATCAAGATTTCTGGCAAGCGTCATTACATGTATATGTTATTAGCTGTTCCACCACATGGTGACTTTGAATACGCCTCAGAGGATCTTTCGATACAGAAGCTTAATGATTTATCTCATCTTGATGCATCCGCTCTTCACGAAGCTGGTATAAGCAATTTAGAGCGTATTATTGTTCTAAATTTCGATATTCGATTCGCGGGATTTGTGGTTCAAAAAGAGAAGGAATCTACAACTATCTGCCCTTTCAATAAAACCTCCAGCAAATTGATCCATGCGATTAGGTCTTTATCTCTAATGAATAAATTTAAGGTATATATTAGACCTAGCGATTATGCGCGGCAACATTTGAAAGAAATTCGCGAGTGCTTGTATGATACAAGTGTAGAGGTTTGTGAATCTGATATGAGGAAGATATACTCTCAACAAGACATTACGCTAGTGAACTGGACGCATTTTAAACATAAGGAACCTCAGGATCAACCACCGCCACGATACACCGCCAAAGATACACAGAGGCCGACGGAAGTGCAGGTTCCCCGTTCACCATTGATCGCATACATAGATACAAAGTCATCACCCAGAATAGACGAAGCTATTATTCCAGTAACACCGAGTCCTGTGTCGGTGTGCCACGGTATTTTCTCGCCTAACCCTGAAGAACTGTCAGATGTCGGAGAAGACTCGCACCTTGATGATTACAAGGATTCAGGACGTGTTGAAACATGCCTTGAAATAGAGGTGAACTCGGATGAGGAATACCTCGCCAATTCCAATGCTCGAGAACTGGATGAAGAATACCTCACCGATATTCGAGAAACAAGCCAACAACTCAGACAAGACGCTACCTCGGAGGCTCTTGGGTCAGAATTTAGGGAGTGGTTGAATGCTGCAGCAAAATTAAATCCAAATGTTCTAGAACATAGAGGACTGACTTCCAAATTACTTACTCTTGGTGAAAGTGTCCGTGAGTCTGATATTGCAAAGTTCGATGCTATCAGACCCTGGTGCTCTGCGCTGTTGTTCTACAACCCGACAGATTCAAGCAGCACCTCCGAGTTGCAAGATTCGATGCATCGATTGCTTGTCTCAGATATGGCTGGGCTCATCAAGTCAATCAACACATTTCAACGTGGTGCTGAGATGACTTTTCTGATGGAAGATTTTTTAAAACTAGGTAGTGCTGCTCGTGCAGGTAATAAGGAGCAGTATACGTGTTGTAAAGTTGAATGTCAATTTCGGATATTGGTCAACGAGAAGAGCAGGAAGGGCTTGTCCAGGAAAAGGAATATTTCGGAAATTGATAGAAATGTGCATAAACGAATCAGAACAGCGGCGTAAATGTCAAATGAGTGTTTATCTATCTTCAAAACCGTCTTTTTGCTAGTCGGCGAAGGTGTTAATGAACCCCAATGAGACTTTCTGGGCGCGTCAGATAAAGAGACTGCTGACTTTTTATGATACAGTAATGGCAGATGCTGTTGTGCTTCGAGTCATTCAGGACGATAAGGTAAATAATAATGATGAAATGGAAGTTCACAATCTCATCTCCACTCCATTGCCCTTTATGCCTGAGGCATCAAAAAGTAAGTGACGTATCATAGTCGCCTTAGGCATCAGTATCGCTCCATGATTTTGAGAGTCACATACGAGGTGTCACGGGATCACCTCTGGGAGTATTCAGAAGCTTTACCGCTGAGCTAAACGCCCAAAAGACTAGGAGGTAGAACTGGAAGTTCTACCTTACTCTCACATATATAGCAGGACAGGACAGGACAGAAAGGGCTTAGTGTCACCCCGTGACAATAAAGGCTTTCTAGCTGAAGGACCTTTATGATTTTTAGAACGAGTGGACAAAAGGGTATATGCGTAGAAACTAGAAGGAGATCAAAGAAATAAAAAGGAGCTAGAAGGAGAAGAGGAGTGAGCGTAGATACTAAAGGGTGGGAAAAGGTATTAGTCGAAAGTCTAAAGGGGAGGGGGTTCTACATCTTGCCACTCACTTTCAATTTGTTCTTCAAGTAGAAGCTTTACCATTATACTATACAGTATAGAATGTAGTATTATTTAAATAAGAATACAAATCAATTTTAATTTATATAGTTATAATTGATAATCGATTATTAATCGATTTCAATACAAGTAAGCTTTTTTATTTGCAAATAGCCTTAGGCTAAAACTTTCGAAAATCAAGAAATTTCGAAAAATCGAAAATTTCTGAAAATCTCTCTAAGTTTCCTTAAAGTAAAATTTTCTAATCATATATATATATATAAAAGTTAATCACATTAATACTGTATGACCTATTTTTTTAATACAATATTAAAGATTAAATCTTTTATTATACTTGATGAAATAATGCTTTCGTCAATCACGGATTCTGCCACCACAGGGCTCCAGACTCTTTACTGTCAATGTTATCATTTCACGTCACTAGAATGGGAGACAAAATCTATTTGAACAGTTTTCAAAGGAGTCTATGAATGAATAAGCTTCACATGTGTTCCGGAAGATACTCCTTTTCCAAATTTCACGACATTCCTTTCCAACCCTAAGGATCTTGCACCCAGCCCCCACTGTTAGTACATTGTACTAGATTAACTCAAGTATTACCAAAGCTGAGCAAGAATATACAGACAGATCACAGGCGTATAGTTCGAAAACAAGATAACCGCCTTGAGTATGACTCACTTCCCAAGCGTTTGAAGTTCGAGGAAGCTTTTCAAAGCCATTTACTTGTCTTGTGTAGCTAGGATATGGACATGGCTCCTCACTGATGAAGACAAAGATCAGATTATCAGAGAACTTTATCGTGAGTACGAAAGATATATATTCGAGTCTTACTATGCCTGTATTTTGAGCATATTTGTTGGTAAACTATTCATCTGTGTGCAATAATTTCATGGACTAGCTTGGAGGATGTGTGACGAGCAATGATAATTTTGACTGCTCAATACCACTTCGATAAGTATATCTTCTTTTGCACAATTGCAGCTTTGTAATAGGTTCTTTAACTAAGCTATTCTTGTGCCTTCTTCATCTCAATAATAAAGACAGCATTAGAATTTCATTTCGTGTCCAGTCTAACTGAGTCCATAATGACCGTAATCTATCAAATTATTCAAGAAGTCTTGAAGTGATTGGAGATATGCAAAATGGATGTCCATCAACTGGTTCACACTTCCATGATTTCCTCTTCGAGGGAGGGAAGATAACGGGGGTATCTTCCCCTTTTATTTTATGGGGCTCGGGTTCGGATAAATACCCCACTTAAGTTTCATCTTTCAGCAGACCAGGGATCATTTGACTCTTGAGCAAGTATATCGCGACGTCATACGAGTTTATTTCACAATACTTATGAGATGATTCAGCGGACCAGGGATTTTCCAATGGCTGAGGAACAGTGGAATTTTGGACAAGTTCATGCCCGGCAAAATCCTTTTGGTATGTGTAGCAAAACACAACCCGACCCGCTCATCCGGACGTTTGGTACTCTCGGGAGATAAGTAGTAAGCCGGGCCCCTGAAACGGTTCCTAGATGTTGCAATGTACTAAGATAGAGATGTTCATCTTATCCAGGATATAATTTGGTACTAGTGTATCGTGCAAAAGGCAGTGCAAGAAGAAGTTGGTCAGCAAGTAATAGTAAGTTTATATCTGCATATGATATTCTCTAGCAAAATAGGAGAGAGATTTTTGGATGGACTGGATTTGGAGAATGGAAATGGTGCGTTTGGTAGATTGGAGACTCAGAAGAGAAATCACATTTTACTGTCACATCTATAATCTCGTATGAAGCATGCCTCGGAATACTACACGCGCCCTTTTGATAGTAGTAGCATATCTCAACCCAACATCATGTTATAAGTGAAAGCGGATCCAAATCCGAAAAGACATGCTGCATCGACAGGGGATTTCCACGAGGTCGTTGTCAGCGCTAACGACCGCTAAGCCCCCTCATGTGCCGCCTAACTATTTTAAGATTAGCCGACTTCAGAACTCTCTTCAATGAAAGAAGTGATATGTGAGAGCGGCGACTACTAATAGAAGCCACTCGAGTCTTAAATTTTGAATAGACACATTCCCATCTCTCTTATAGTTCCAATCTACCTTGAACAAACATCTCTTTAGCTAAAATAGTCACACAATGGCATACCCAAAAAATGTTGGCATTAAAGCCATGGAAATCTATGTCCCAGCACAGGTAAATTTCCAAGCACTCCCACGAAAGTCACTTCATGATGCTGATTAGAAAAGTGTCTGGATCAAACATTGTTTGAAAAACATCAAGGTGTTTCAGCTGGTAAATATGCCATTGGATTGGGCCTTCAGTATATGAACTTTTGTACCGATAGAGAGGGTAAGTTCGTACCATCAAAACTCATCAGCCAATTCAGGAATCATGTAATACTCACGAATTTACCAGATGTCTGTTCCCTAGCTCTAACAGCTGTCTCTTCACTCCTCCGAAAATTTGACATCGACCCAAATTCTATTGGGCGTCTTGAAGTCGGAACTGAATCACCCATCGACAAAGCCAAATCTGTCAAATCAGTTCTCACCACTTTATTTGAGCCACATGGTAATACAAGTCTCGAAGGAATCGACACAATACACGCCTGTTACGGTGGTACGAATGCTCTGTTCAATGCGGTCAATTGGGTAGAGTCTCGTTCATGGGATGGTCGAGATGCCATTGTTGTTGCATCCGATATAGCCCTCTACAAAGAGGCCGCTTCTCGACCAACTGGAGGAGCTGGTTGTGTTGCTATGCTTGTTGGTCCAAATGCACTGCTGTCCCTTGATCCGGGCTTGAAAGGTGTCTACATGACTCATGCTTATGATTTCTACAAGCCGGATACTAAAGTCGAGTTTCCTATTGTGAACGGCCATGAATCTATTGGTTGTTACATTGGTGCTTTGGATGCATGCCACAAGAATCTACTTGAGCGAATTGAGGCTAGAAGCAAACTCAACGGCGATGAGCCCAGCAGCGTGCCCAAGAAGGTTCTTGAACTTTTTGATTACATGGCATTCCATACTCCAAACTGCAAATTAGTGTCTAAATCCTTCGGTCGTCTCAAGTACAATGACTGTCTCTTGTCAACTGATGATGCTGAATGGGAAGGTATTCCCGATGAACTTCGCAAGTTGAGTTATTCGGAGTCTCTCAAGGATAAGACGCTGGAGAAGACTCTTGTATCAATCACGAAGGATGAGTTCAAGAGGAGTGTCGAGCCGTGCATTGCTGGCCCTTCTTTATGCGGTAATATGTACACAGGAAGTTTGTACTTTTCTCTCATTAGCTTGATAAGCAACATTGATCTCAAAGCTGCAGAAGGCAAAACCATCGGCTTGTTCAGTGTGAGTAGATGAATTTATCTTTTCACCTCCCAAAGCATTTTACTGACCCGAATCCACCATCTAGTTTGGAAGTGGCATTGCCAGCTCGCTTTTTGGCATGAAAATTACCGGTGATCTTACCGAACTGGTCCAAAAAGTCAATTTGATGGACCGTCTTAAACAGAGACATATCGCGACACCCGAAGATTACGAAGAGGCGAGTCTCTAGCTTTCAGTCCGTTTAGAAAATATGCTAACTCGACACAAGGCTTGTACTCTCCGGAAAAATGCATACGGAGCTAAGGATTTCAAGCCTCTTGGCGATGTGAACTCCCTGGCACCTGGAACATACTACCTGGAGAGTGTGAATGATGTGTATAGAAGAACTTACGCCATAAAGCAGTGATCCAAGCGAGATTTTATCAGACCGGGAGATGATTCATGAGACGCTTGTACATGAGGAAGATATAGGGTTGGTATATTCAATAGAATCAGAAGACGAGAAAGATAGATCTAACTATCGTAGTCAATATCTAATTAATAAGATTTAAAACGAATAATACAGTGTACTATGGCCGGAGTCGCATCTATATAGTAAAAGATCAATTGTATATCTTCTAGAAAATGTAAAGAATATGCTTCTGATCACTCTAGGCGCGATTCGTGCTTATATAAGCACATTTTGACACACCCGCACACAGGCACGATTTGTACTTTATTTACAAGAGCGTGTTTTTGATAAGGGCCCGAATAAAATTTAAGCAAATTTCCTCACCAAAACCATACTTTATTTCCTATTTTTATAATAAAATATAATTCAAATATTTATTATAAAGTTTTGAAATTCAGAATATATTTAAAGATTTAATAAATAATTATTTCAGTATTAGTTTTATTAAATTTAATAAAATATTGATTAATAAATCTTATATAGAATTTCAATTTTTAAAATAAATATTATTTTTTATAATAATTTTAAATTCTAATAATTCTATATAGATTTTAATTAAATTAGAAAGTTTTATAAAAAAAATCTAAAATTACATTTTAAAACTTTATATTAAAATCTATCTATTTATAAGATTTCAAATATATAATAATATTAATTAAATTTAATATTGAATTCTAAAATAGGTGACTTTTGGTATGAAAAGTGTTTGTGTATAGATCTGAGCCCTCATCAAAAACACGCCCTCGTGTCACGGGGTGACACTAAGCCCTTTCTGTTCTGTTCTGTCCTGCTATATATGTGAGAGTAAGGTAGAACTTCCAGTTTTATCTTCTAATCTTTTGGGTGTTTAGCTTAGCGGTAAAGCTTCTGAATATTCCCAGAGGTGATCCCGTGACATTTATTTTCTTTTTTTCTATTATTAAAATGTCAATAATAAACGATTATCATTTTGAACTGGAAATATTTGTTGATAACAAAGAACGTATTTCGTTAAGGATAAAAAAAGTTTGAATTCAATAATGTATGTATCAAATAATTATATAGGAATTTATACTGACATTTTATTCGTACATAGATATTAACTTTGTCACCACAGGGGAGACACGTCGAGACTAAGCGAAAATAAGATTAATCAGAGCCGAGAAAGCATGGTCAAATGACATATACTGTGTCAATAGCAGTTGCACCGTAGATGATTTCTTTCGAGTCTCAAGAATTGTAAATTGTATAGGATATCCCAGAATTTATTTCCCAACAATGTATCCTCACATTTTTGATTCACAAGAGTGTGGTCCATATCGCACGAGACCGTTTAGAGCTGTCAAATTTTGGACAGATGAGACAATCAGTTTCTTTTTGAGAGTTCTGCTGAAGCCGGAAATGGCTAGACTATTGTCACGGATCGCACCCAATCGTAACTGCGATCGCTCACATGCGCGCTTGCGCATGTGCACAATCATATGTATATAGCTAGTATATAAGAGCACTCTACAAGCACTTTACTCCTGATTCTGTAATTGTAGATTCTAAGGATAAATTGTACCCTGCTCTTGTAGTTCTTCTAAAGCAAAGTATCACATTATCTATAATTCACTATACGATCGCATGGTCATTTGGTGATCAATCAAATAATATCTTATAACCATAATATCTTTTTGGGTATATCGAGGATATTCGATATTACTTATAAGAAAAGGGCTGATTCCGAATAAATCTATTTAACAAAAAACAACAAACCTTTAACATATAGAGTTACAAGTATTACTATTATATCCAACCTATTTATTTCAAAGGAATTCCATTACTCTCCTTCTCTTGCTGACTAAGCGCCTCCAGCTAATAATAGTTAATCTCAATAAAGCAATGATTATAGTCCTTATGATTCTAATATAAATATTGGTAAATATAAAAAGAATAAACAGCCTAAAAACGACTCCTTAATCGAGATATTAATTTTTGAGAATAGCATATCAATACACACTTTTCTATTATAGAAAGAACAAATACTAACCCTTAAAAACTTTGAGGATTTACAAAACAAAATTATAAGACTCAAAGACAAATTGTTATAATGTAGTCTTAGTATTATTTATTTATTTCAATCTTCAAGATACTGATAACAATATCATATAAATTCCCTTACAAATTATAAAATCCGGACTTCTGATATTCTAGTTGATTTTATTGAAAAAGCATTTCCTATTATTAGAAAAAAAAAAACAAGAAAAACCCCTATTTGCAAAGTCAGTCTTCACAACAATCCCTTTCGAATACTGATAACAAACCCCTTTCAAACCCAATCGCCCTATTAAACAATTTATAAATTTATTGAATATTTTATTCTTGTTTATTTATTACTATAATAAAATATCCATATATTTTGAAGCCCATCAATCTTTTATCCAAACTTAAAGATGATATAGAATCGAAAGCAAGTTTCTAGTAACTATTAATTATCGAGCAACTCGAATTTTATAAAAATTCGTTTATCTCAGAAGTATAATAGCGATTTTATGTAGTAGATTAAATAGAAAGAGAGGTATAAGAATATGTATTCTTATTATATATTTAAGTCCTTTACTTGATAGAATAGTAATTGATCAATCAGCTTGTAGCTATTTATAAGAATCCTGTCAAAGCCGATTATATACGAACTGAGTATGAATATTGGATTATATCTAATAATATCTAATAAAAAAACTTTCTAGTATAGTATTACAGATTTAGATTATTAGCTATATAAACAGAAATCACCAATTCGATAATTCTTCTTTACAATCTGGAAAGAAAAATATCTGATTTTCTTTAACAAGCTATTAGCCTTTACATCAACAAATATTATATTGTTGAGGATCTGGCTATCAAGCTTACTAAGATCAATGAACTCGAAATTACACTTCGAAAATGCAATCATCATAAAACAACTAAAGAAATACCTTTTAGAAAATCATCTAATAACATCGATTCGTCAATTACCCCTAAAAACACTCTCCGTTCATCAAATAATTCGAATCTATTTATTCAGTTTCATATTCAATATTCTCCTCGCACTCTTACTAGCTATACAGAAATCTTCAAGCCAAATAATACTCTATTTCCAGAAAACAATTTCAATTGTAGTACTATTATTCCTATATCAGGAGTGAATTGTAGTTTTATATTATATATAGATAATATAAGCACTATAGCTGAGATTCAAGAGATTGGAGAAGACAAAGAGTTCTATAATATAAAAAAGAATATCGAGAAAAATATAAATCAAAAAATGTAAGCAAAAACTATCAAATCTATTTACACTATCGAAAATCAATATTTAAATCAATATACTTAGATAAAAGTTCCTTTCTAAATACAATCCGGAATATAAGATTTCTCGATTTGATAAAACTAATGGAAAATGATTCCATAAATCTATTATGCATACTTTCAAAAAACGGATATTTATATAATACTCAATCTCTTATAGATTCCAAAGTAAATAGCTTTACTTTTATTAACAAGATATTCCTTTTATTATTATTCCCTATATTCAAACCCTACTTTATATTATTCGAATTATTGATTAAAGTCAAAAGCTACAATAATATATAAGGTAAAGCTATTACTTATTTTATATTTCTTAATTTCACGATTAATACTCGATAATAATCTTATTTGCCATTTTTTATTACCGATTTAGATTTATATAGTATAATCCTAGATCGCAAATGATTAATAGAGATTCGAATTAAAGTTGATTGTTTTAACTGATACCTTGAATAGCCTTTTGAGCATCCTCCTATTATTTCTTTATCAAAAAATATATTTTTAATTAGAGACAGTCTTTAATAACCCAGAATCAATTACTTGAAACAAAAAGATATTGATGATCGGAATGCCCGATTGAAAGAGATATATCACCGACTTGATAATGGATAATCGATTATAGTATCGATTATATCTGAAATACTTATTATTTCTTCCCAAAAGATTAATATAATAATCTCAAATACAATCAAAGCTTAGATTTCAATTAATCTAAAAAAGAAACCTATTCTTAATCAAATCTCTATTTAGTTTGTTTATAAATCCCTTTTGCTTTGTATCTTCAATATATTCAATATCTATATATTCAAGCCAATTCAATTTCAATTTATCTATAAGAGAAATAAGGATTATAAGATCTTTATAGTTATATATACAGAGATTAATAATATTATTTCGATTTATAAATCTAGTTAAGATAATAATTATTGAATCTCAATTGTAATTGCTGTCTTAAATAGTTTTTAAATCAGAAACTATTGCTGCTTTCAATTATATTATTGTAAATGTTAAGATAGAGTCTCCGATCCCTAAAGTTTATTAATAATATTATTAAGTATTTTCTAAATACAAGTCTGATATCTTATCTCTCTTTTGATTATATAATTACAAGATTATTGTCACGGCGCCAACTATATGATCTGTAGTTGCCTTCGTATCTCAGGCATAGCATATTAGCACACTCTACTTCCTATAAGTAGGGCTTCACTTTTCCATAGCTCTTCTACCTTTATGGTACAATATAAGTCTTTACCCATACCTTAACAATTTATATTATTTTCAAATAAATTATTACAACTTTATTTCTTATTTTATTTCCAAAGTCTTACCAATATCTTGTCCTGATCGTACCAATCGCATTCACTGTTAATCCATTATATACTCTGCTGCTAATATTTTGAATCTCAAAAAGTGCCAAAGATAGGTGAACAAATATTTATATTAAAAGCATCTATATTTAACTTACTTCTACAGTTCCTTTTCTTAAACCATATTCTCAACTCTGCTGAAGCTAATATCTCTCCCTTTATAGATCTATTCAATAATCCAAACGCTATACACTTCGCTATTGTTTAAGTCATATTTGAATCGATCAAATCGATTACAGACTTATTATAAACTCAAACTGCTACTATTCAGACCTAAGCCAT